AATTGGGAGGTAGGACTAGGTGTTACAGCATTTTACAGGAGTAGGAGAGGACTAAGTAGTGCCTCAGCTGTCCAGTGGGTGGGGAGGTGACACAGGAAGCTGTGAATAGCGGTGTCACCATCCTACCTGTGCTGTGTGGCAATCACAGAACTGGCAGAAACAACATGATTATTAATCTTTTCTGTTTTCCTGCTTTAAAACATGAATTTGTCCAACAATTCAAAGTTTAGGTACTTTTGTTTGTGTGCGTAAATAATCTCACTTACTTGGGTTTGTATTTAGTGTTTCTGTACACTCCAGGCCTTTCATTGGAAGGATGGTGAATGTGTCTATACATTGATATACTGTGTATCATTTTGTCCTAGAATTCTCCTAATCTTCTTATATTTGGCCTAATGAGATGGAATCTAGGCCAGAGTAATCCTGTTACTACAGTTATCCGCGGAGGGTGGAGAACATGAGTCTGGAATGGGGAGTTACTCCGCTGCGTCTGGTAGAATATGTATGCTGGATTGGTATATAGGTTAAAACCTTTTACTCGGGGAAGTGTCATACAGCACATAGGAAAGAAGATTACAGAGCGCACGGAAAAATGAAAGTGCTGCAGCGCTGTAGAAAGTCTCCTTGAAACAGTCTTGAAAGGTCAGCCACAAAGTAAGTCTGTGAAGTGGGATGAAAGCACCAGCGTGAGCTTGGCTGGATCAAAGTCACACAAAAGCGGATGCAGCCCCCACAATTGGCTCAATACTTTCAGCTAACCACAGTCATGATAATATCCCTGTCTGGCAGCTCCAGTAAATATGTTTACACACTTTCTTCATAATATGTGCAATATTTCTGGAGCTTTCATGTCCCATCATTGCCATACAGGCTGTATTCACAGGCAGATGATGCTGGAAGGGGATTCACAGGTAGTGAAACCATTGCTGTGCCATATGAATCAACAGTTGAGTGGCAATGTTCCTCAGCAGTTAGCAGCCCACGCTTTACCCTAGGCCAGGGGTGGGCAAACTCTGACTCTCCAGCCATGGTGAAACCACAAATCCCATCATTCATTAGCCTTGCAATGTGATTTGTAGTTGCACCACAGCTGGAGTTTGCCTACCCCCTGCCTTAGGCTGTTTCTATACCCCCCATCAAGCAATACCTGTTAAGGTATACTGGGACTTGTAGTTGTTCTTGGGTCCTAAATGAGCGAATGATCCTAACAGAACGATGTTCCCTAGAACAAATGTATTCTTTTAGAATCGTACCTCGCACCACTTATTGGCAGATACGTTACCACATCCTTTATTGAAGGAAAACAAGAAAGCTCAGGTCTGTGACTCCTCTGTATATTGGCACAATAAGGTCGTAATATCTCTTGGACTTTGAGCAAGAACTACCAGAGGTCCTTTTCAGCATCTACTGCTGCCATCTGGTATTTTTCCAGCCATAAAACATAATGGGGGCATTTGTCAAATCTGGAGCAGTTGCTCATCGTAACAAATCAGTTTCTAGCTTTCATTTTCAAAGCGAAACTGAAGAGAAAAGCAGATTGGTTACTAAGGTCAACTTCTCCAGATTCTGTCTGCTCACGTTGTAATAATGATTCTATCAGCTGTCAAACCTTTGCTTTTTTTGGGTCTTGTGACCATGTCCAGGCATAAATGGATCAAGGTCCTGAAATGTTCTCTTGGACATAAATACCTCTTTACATAACCATCCTGATCCACAAACCCGCCGAACATCATACGATGCTCGGCGGGTTTTCGAACATGTCCGTAAGTTTAAAGTCGTGCGACCGTACAGTAGTAGAGGTCGCACGGCTTCCACACACCTTACGATAATCGTACGATCGCGGGATTTCCCACAATTATCGTACGATTATCATAAGGTGTGTGGGGACCTTAAAGGTAAAATCGCTTTCTTAAACCCCCCCCCGCCTATAATAATGTAATTACACATTACTGTTAGTTTTTGTTTTTTTTAGCCAGTATCAAAGTTCTGAGTGTGATCCTCAGATGCAGTTGAGCGACAGTATAATGGAACCATTTCTACTTATTTCAGTGCATTGCGTTATGGGAGGTTATTATGCCTCCACCATCAGCCTGCAAAGTACCATAGTCAGGGATGAGAGCTTGCTGCATTACATAAGGGTTGTGGGAGGTGAAGAGTTCTCTCCGTTACTGTAGGAAGCACTCCAGACTAATGGGGTTCCATTATTTCTTTTCTTTGAACGTTCTGGCTCTTTATGTCTCTGTAGTTCCAACTTTGTCAATCAACATACAGTATGTACTGCTCTCTAAGGAACCGTATAGAGCAAACAACACGGACAAGTTCAGTTACTGATTATTGGATGAAGCTTCTTAGGTACTGTCCTATGTGTGTTATACTGATACCCCGTAAATACTTATAGGTGTGTGTGTGTATGTACAGTATACATGTGTATGTATGTCTATAGAGAGAGAGAGAAAGAGACACATAATAGGTAATGTTTCCATTTACATAAACCATTTTCTTTACAGTCTCATGGACAACTACTGTAACATTTTTGTCTGCCAAGCACATTAGTGCATATATTAATTCTTTTGCGTGCTCTCTGTTTCTGGTAGAGCTGCTGTCTAAATGTTACTGGCTTTGCATATTAGCGGTAGAGGTGCACCGAAATGGAAATGTTAAAACCGAAACGAAACCGAAATAAAAAAAAAATTGTCAGACCGAAAATGTTTTTTTATTTAAATTTTTTTATATTTATTAATTCATTTATTAAATATTTTTATTTTTTACATTGCTTTTAGGGGCTTCGGGGAAATATTAGGGGGTCTAACCAAAACCCCTGATGTTTCCCTTTTAAAATAGAAAAAGCTCAGCCTCCTGTGACAGAGCTGGCTGTCTCCGCCTACACACCGCTCTGCTGGACTGTGATAGGCGGCTGAGCGGTGTGGGAGGAGAGACACCGGCCGCTCACAGCGCTCTCGTCCGGCAGCGCTTGGCTGGCTGTCACTTTCTTTTCTCCCCGCTGGAACACAGAGCAGCGCCCAGCGGGGAGAAAAGAAACCAGGGATGCGCCGATGTATTGGCCGAAACATGGCTCTTTCAGCACTATGCCAAAAGTGGCATTTTCGGCCGATATATCGGCGCATACCTAATTAGCGGTAAACATATTTGGATGTATGCCGTAAACTCCACAGCTTATTTTACAGTAATGCCTTACTACTTAATGTATGTGAAACCAAAAACTTGATTTGGTCTGTTTTCATCTGTTAAACAGATGTCGCAAAATTCTTTCCATTATATTGAAGTTTAAAATATACCCACTGATCCTAAATCTGATACCATCCAGCTATCTGAGGACTACAGAAACCCCATTCCCTCTGTTATGGAGGAGGTGTTTATAGTCCTTTTTAATGGTTGCCGCACTGATCCTCTATCGATACAGTGTGCGAGTGTTGTCGCCGTAGGACAGGAAGTGTGAATGGCAGGATAACCAAGTGCCATAAAAAGCCTGAAAATAAATGCAGCCACCAAATCTAAGGACTGGTAAGCTGCAATAAATCACATTTCTGTTTTAGAGATTAGATATGCAGTAAGTGTTCTCAGGTGCTTAATAAAGCTCAGTGATGTCACTATGAGACCATTTGGGCTGCTCACTAGTATAGATCTCTTTCAGCCAAGTTCACTGTGCTTCATACTTTATGACCTAGTGCTTATGCTATTACCATCAATGGTGTCAGTGGGAGTTATGAGAACTACCAGGGTTGCAGCTGGGACCCGGCTCTGGCGCTCCACCGCTGTCCTGAAATCATTAGTCTCTATTGTTTTAGAAAAACTGTCACATGAAAACGTATCAGTACTTGCAAAAATGGTATTTGGTGCATCACATATATATTTATAAAAACAAATCATACATTAAACAGAGATGTACAAATCCCAGGAGCTCCGTGTGCTCCTTACAAATGACAGCCGCCTACTAACTTTTGAATTTTTCTCTAGTCTAGTCTTGGAGCTGGAAAAGTATCTGTACTTGTACCGAGTACGGTACTTTGTATCGGTGCATCCCTACTTAGAACATCAAATTGGTGTTTTCCTTTACAAGAAATGTGCTTCCATGCAATGATTTGACTATCTTAAGATGATATGACATGACTGTTCTGCTGAGAAACTGTCAGAGTGTATAGCTGGCATTTTTGGCATGAAAAATCTTATGCTTTTGTTTCTGCAGACTATCATATGAACTGGTAGGCCAACCAACCAGCAAGCTGATAAGCCCCAGCTATTCTGAAGATAGATTCGCGTCAGTATTCCTAACCATCCAACGGACCGATAGGCCCCAGCCGCTGTACACAGATAGGTAAAGTGAAGTCAGTAAGACTAACACACACACACCTGCAGCAAGTCAGCATCTGAGAAAGTCTTTTTAATGGAAAATGTAAAACCCCTTTCAACTTCAATGTACAAAGCATGTGGAACACTTGCACTTTTAACAAATTAAAGCAAGCCAATGTTTTAAAAAAATACATCATTGAATGTATATATGTATATATTTACATAGCATATTAAGTTTAATAGTTAGCTTCAAAAGGGTCACATAAATTTTTACCAAAATGAGACAACTTGTTTCAAATAAATTACATCTTTCTTTCTCTTAAATGTCTAATTATACATTGAGTAGGCTTCAATAAAACATTGAAGTGTCTTTTTTTTTTGTCTTTAATACCGTGTTATACTTTTTTTATAATATACAAAGTTTACAGATATTTGGCAGTAATCTTTCAGATTATGTTATGAATGCTTCCAATGCAGGCAATAGCTGGTGATCTGTGTTATACCCTCACAGTTACTGTCTCAATGTAGTGAAAAATATCCAAATTATTTTAGCAAACTATACAAGTCACATTTACATTTGATCAACAATATAGCATAGAATGTTTTTGTATTGTTTTCTTTTTTTTTTTTCCAAAAAAATAAATACATTTAGATCTTTCAACATGTTGGTTTTTTTTTTTTTTTTTTTTTAATTTTTTGACAAACTTTTAATGTACACTATGATACAGTGCAGCGCGATCTGATGCTCTACCGCTCGTGTTAACGCCTGCTGAGCTGGAGCGGCTTGTAATGCACTGCAGGAGGAGGGCCCGGGCCAGCCCTGGGAGGGGGGGGCTCATCGGACGTGATCGAAGGATACTGGTGTGGTGTCAGTAACAAGTCAATACTCGGCGCAGTGTGTGTGTCTTGGCACTGTTATCAGTGAGTCCCTCACTGTCCTTCCATTTTGTCTCTCCACACAGGAATCACATAGGATCCTGCTTAGTGAACTCAGGACTCCTCCATGTCTTCCATTTCTTCTTCACGGATCTTCAACGCCCGTACCAGCTCTTTCACTGAGTGATACAAGATGTTCTTGACCTGGAAAAACACAACAACTTTAAATGTAAGTACTAGAGAGTATATACTGTATTAAAGTACTGCACCTTGGTTGGCACTAGAGATGCACCGATACCGATACTAGTATTGGTATCGATACCGAGACTAGTATCGGTATCGATACAGAGTATTTGGGTGAGTACTCGTACTCGCCCAAATGCTCCGTTACCTAGCGCGAGTACTTCCTGTATCAGGAAGCCAGGCAGCGCATCATTACACGCTGCCCGGTTTCCTGATTGGCCAGGAAATGGCTCCATGCTCTCTCGTCACTTGTGATGAGAGAGCATGGAGCCGACTTCCCGGCCAATCAGGAAGCCAGGTAGCGTGCAATGACGCGCTGCCCGGCTTCCCGATTGGTCAGGAAGCTAGCAAATCCGGAAGCCGGGCGCCGTGTAATGACGCAGCGCCCGGCATTCTGATTGGCCGGGAAGCTGGCGTCATGCTCCCTTGTCATCTCATGAATCATAATATTAAGAAAGTGACCTTAAAGCATTAGTTTGTATTGCTTTAAAAAAATGTGATCTGTCCCTTTAAGAAAAAGTATCGGTAATTGGTATCTGCGAGTACTTGATCAAAAGTATCGGTACTCGTACTCGGTCTTAAAAAAGTGGTATCGGTGCATGCCTAGTTGGCACAGGAAAGTAAGACTATCAGGATTTTGAAGTACTGCTGTTGACACAATTCGGCAATCTTAATCACTGCATCATTCCAAGCTTTTAATGGAAGATGAAGTCACAAAGCTTAAAGAGCTGGAAAAGAAAATTTGACTACTCCAGAAGAGTC